ACCAGTCTGGGCAACATGATAAAACCCTGTCTCTACCGAAAAATAAAAAAATTAGCTGCATACCTACAGTCCCAGCTACTGGGGAGGTTAAGGTGGGAGGATTGCTTGAGGCCGGGAGGCGGAGGTTGCAGTGAGCTGGGATTGCGCCACTGTACTCCAGGCTGGGCGACAGTGTAAGACTCTGTCTTTAAAAAAAAAAAAGAAAAAAAGTTGCTGTTTGAAGTCATTGCATTTTATGGTGATTTTTAGCAATAGACAACCAAAATACTTTTCCTTGTCCCCATATCCCTTCTCTCTGTTAAGCTCCATCAATTTTTTTTTTTTTTTTTTTTTTTTTTTTGAGACGGAGTCTCGCTCTGTCACCCAGGCTGGAGTGCAGTGGCCGGATCTCAGCTCACTGCAAGCTCCGCCTCCCGGGCTTACGCCATTCTCCTGCCTCAGCCTCCCGAGTAGCTGGGACTACAGGCGCCTGCCACCTCGCCCAGCTAAGTTTTTGTATTTTTAGTAGAGATGGGGTTTCACTGTGTTAGCCAGGATGGTCTCGATCTCCTGACCTCGTGATCCGCCCGTCTCGGCCTCCCAAAGTGCTGGGATTACAGGCTTGAGCCACTGCGCCCGGCCGGCTCCATCAATTTTACCTCCAGAATATCCTAAGCCTACTCTCATCTCTGACACTGACTCTCAAACTACCATCCACTTTCACTGCAGTAGCCTTCTCAGTTAAAGTTGTCTCTGTGCACTTACACAGCCCCACTCCAGTCTATGTACCTCACTGCAACAAAAGATATCTTTTCCAAGCATAAATTGGATCACATCATCCTCTTGCTTAAAATATTTCAGTAGTTTTCTTTTGTCTCTAAAATAAAAATCATCAAAGTCCTTAGCATGGCTTACCTTGCTTAGCAAGGCTCTGCCAAGTTCCTTGTCTCTACCCACTGCCCAAGCCCCCTCTTGCCCTATAATCTTTTTCTTTTATGCCATGCTAGCCTTTAGTTACTACACTCTACAACCCCTTTTGCCCCAGGGACTTTGTGTACATTGTTTCCTCTTTCTGGTATCCCTACCTACTCACCTGCCCCTACCCTCTTTGCTAAGCGCTTCCTAGTTACCTTAATAGGCTTCAGCTCAGACATCACTTCCTCACAGAAGCTTTCTCTGCCCCACCTGGCTAAGTTTCCCTTTAGATTTAGCTGGTTGTTTGATTATTGTCTGACTTTTCTCACTAGACTAAGTTCCTGACTGGTTTTACCTGAAATGAACCTTGAAGGGGCTGGTGTGCCATCTGTCACAAGGATTTGCTCCTTATAAGTGCAGCCCAAATTCTTTGACACTACTCCCATTGAAAGGTGATGGGGTCAGGGGGTGGAATCTGTGTCCCCTCCTCTGGAATCTGGACTCTGACTCCTTGACCACTAGAATACAGCAAAAATGACACTATGCCAGGTATCAGGCCCAGGCCTTAAGAAACTGGCATCTTCCATTTTCTGTCACTTTGAATGCTTCCTCTTTAACCCAATTTCCATGCTATCAGAAAGTCCAGGCAGCCTGTGGAGAGGAACCAAAACCCTTGGTCCTCAGCCCTAGCAGAGCTCCCAGCTGACAGCACCAACTTGCCAGTCACGTGAGTGAGCCATGTTGGAAGTGGAACTTCTAACCCCCCATTGAACCATCCCAGCTCACACTGCATGGAGCAGAGATAAGCTTTCGCCATTGAACCTTGCCAAATTCCAGATTCATGAACAAAATGATTTTTTTCAATGACTTAAAAAAATTGGGGGGGTGGTTTATTATGCACCAATAGATAACCAGAACATCAGCCAAAATGGCAAGCCTCTGCAGAAAGGCAACCCTTCTCGGGCAGGATCACAGAGCTGTTTGTGATGTCATCCTGAGTCTCACTGAGCCCTGGTTGACCAGGAGCCCACAGTGCCTTTCAACATATAGAGGAGTCTGTGGCAGTGCCCAACCAGGGTGACCACCCCTCATGTCCATGCTAGGAAGCAGGTGCAGACCTGGATCCAGGGTTCTCTCTTGCTCATAACCTTCCACCCTGAGATGGTTGCTGGAGCCTACTGCTCTCCAGGGTTTTGCCCCAAATATGCAGAGAGCAGCCTGTTCCCGCTGGTGAAGGTGGATGTTGGATACCAAGGGACATCAAGCAGTGCCTCATGAAAGACCCTAGGGAGGGAATGCAGTTCGTGGGGAAGGCTCAGGGATCACTGCCCCAGAGGAATGTGCAGCTTTGTGCAAGGTGATTCAGGTGAACATTCACATTTGGTACACCAAGTTTTGAGAGGCGTCTGTGCTGAGGCACACAACCTACACAGTGCCCTCTAGGCACACTCTCCAGTACAGTAGCCAGTAGCCGCACATGGCCATTGATTGATTGATTGATTGATTGATTGATTGAGACGGAGTCTCGCTCTGTCTACCTGGCTGGAGTGCAATGGCGCGATCTCCGCTCACTGCAAGCTCCGCCTCCCGGGATCGTGCCATTCTCTTGCCTCAGCCTCCTGAGTAGCTGGGACTACAGGCGCCCGTCACCGCGCCTGGCTAATTTTTTTTTTTTTGTATTTTTAGTAGAGATGGAGTTTCACCGTGTTAGCCAGGATGGTCTCGATCTCCTGACCTTGTGATCCGCCCGCCTCAGCCTCCCAAAGTGCTGGGATTACAGGCGTGAGCCACCGCGCCCGTCCCACATGGCCATTTAAACTAAAATTTTTTTTAATGTTAAAGAGCCATGATTAAGGTGATCTTGAGGAAAAAAAAAAAATTAAAAGCAATATCTCAGCCACATGAGTTACATTTCAACTGCTGAAGAGCCACATGTGGCTAGTGGCTACTGAACTGAATAGTACAGATGTAGAACATTTTCCTCACTAGAAGTTTTATTGAACAGTATTGTTCTAGGCCCTTTAAGAGAGGTCAGCCGGGCACAGTGGCTTACGCCTGTAATCCCAGCATTTTGGGAGGCCGAGGTGGGTGGATCACCTGAGGTCAGGAGTTCGAGACCAGCCTGGCCAACATGGTGAAACCCCATCTCTACTAAAAATACAAAAATTACCTGGGTATGATGGCAGTTGCCTGTAATCCCAGCTACTGGGGAGGCTGAGGCAGGAGAATCACTTGAACACGGGAGGCAGAGGTTGCAGTGAGCCAAGATTGCGCCACTGCACTCCAGCCTGGGGGACAGAGCAAGATTCCATCTCTAAAAAAAAAAAAAAAAAAAAAGAGAGAGAACATGGTGAAACCCCATCTCTACTAAAAATACAAAAAATTAGCTGGGCGTGGTGGCGGGCACCCGTAGTCCCAGCTACTCGGGAGGCTGAGGCAGGAGAACAGCATGAACCCGGGGGCACGGAGCTTGCAGTGAGCCCAGATCGCACCACTGCACTCCAGCCTGGGCGTCAGAGCAAGACTCCATCTCAAAAAAAAAAAAAAGAAAAAGAAAAAGAAAAAAGAGAGAGAGGTCAACAGAGATGGCTTTGTCTCCAAGTCCATGAAAATAAATGCAAGAAACAAAACAAGGGCTCCTGCTGAGAGAACCACAGGGATGGCCAAGTTTGTCAGGCCGCTAGGGAGTTTTGGGGAGCAGCTTGAATGACTTACCCTGAGCTTTCTGCCTCCTTTCATAGTCACTGGTAACTTTTTTTCCAAACTCCTTGTTAGTATAGTCATTTCCTACTTGGGGGTATCACATTCCAAAACTTCCATCCATGACATGCAACAAAAATGCAGCACAACATCCTGGTTAAGAACATGAACTCCAAGCCCAGCGTGGTGGCTCATGCCTGTAATCCCAACATTGGGAGGCCAAGGCAGGCGGATCACCTGAGGTCAGGAGTTCGAGACCAGCCTGGCCAACATGGTGAAACTCCGTCTCTACTAAAAATATGAAAATTAGCCGGGCGTGGTGGCAGGCGCCTGTAATCCCAGCTACTTGGGAGGCTGAGGCGGGAGAATCGCTTGAACCCGGAAGGCGAAGGTTGCAGTGAGCCGAGATCATGTCCCTGCACTCCAGCCTGGGCGACAGAGCGAGACTTCATCTCAAAAAACAAACAAAAACATGGACGCTGGAACCAAACTGCCCATAGCAGAACTCTTGTTCCACAACTTACTAGAGTGACCTTGGGCAAGTTATTCATTCTCATTCTCATAGAGCTCGGGTAAAAAGGGGCTAATAGAAGTTCTATGAGGGTCACATGAAATAATATAAACATAATGGTGCCACGAAATAGTGAACACAATATATATTCGCTCTGATGTTCTCCAAACCTAATCTTATTTGGGTTTCCAAGAAAAAAAAAGCCTTCAAAAGAGACTTGGTGAGTGTGTGTAATCACCGTATCCTTCCCTGACTTCATTTTACTAAACTCTCCTCCTTCAAGCCCTCTTCAGTCCTCCTAATCTCTTCAGGGCCCTCCTCCTGAGGTGGTGGCACATGGCTCTAGTGCAGCTGCCCAGAGCCTGGTATCAGAGTATGAAGACTTTGATCTCAGGTGAAGCCATTCTTGTTTTTTATCTTCTTCTATCTTCCGTGCTTAGGCCCCCCAAGTACTAAGTGTGTTCCAGGAGGCTGGAATATCATACAATGGAGGAAATTTGGAGATCAGGATAAAGATTTGGAGAAAGAGGCATGAGAAGCTAAAGATGCAGGAGTTGCCTATGCCGGCTCTTGCTTCGTGGTCATGCAGCTTAAGAGGCCCTGGATGAAGGCCGAGGGCTGGTGTTCTGAGTGTTGCCTGCTCGCAGTCAAGGAAAGTACAAGCCGGGCCCTGCCAGCTTCTCAGGACCGCGTAAGAAACAGAAGATGTAATAAAATAGCAATTTCCTATAAAATTAAATGCCTTAAGGGTTGTTAGCAGTTTCCTCGCCCCAGGCGGCTCCTTTAAGAGGCGGCTCCTCGCCCTGCTAACAGAGGAAGTCCCCGCCCCCCGTTGCTAGGGTGCTCTGTGGCGTCGCATTCTCATTGGTGGGCGACGGCGGGGAGCACCCCCGAGGCAGCCATTTCCAACTAGCTGGCGGGGGCGAAAGATGGCGACGCCCCTCGGGTGGTCGAAGGCGGGGTCAGGATCTGTGTGTCTCGCCTTCGATCAACTGCGGGACGTGATTGAGTCTCAGGAGGAACTGATCCACCAGCTGAGGAATGTGGTATGCAGCCAGAGGAGCTTGGGGAGAGGCGGGGCCGGATGCCTCACTGATGGGGGCGGGGCCAGAACCTGTTCCGATGCCGGGCCGTGGCTAGAACGCATGGCCCATGGCGTAATCAGGAGGAGGCTGGGCTTGGTCGGTAGGGGTAGAGCCAAAAAGAGGCGGGCTTTCCTGAACCAGGGAATTTTAACTAATATCAAGCCATATTCTCCCTTCCGTTTGCCTGGTTACTGCAAGAGCTGGTAGAGTCCCTGAGCCTCAGTTTCCCCATTTTCAGTGAAGATGACGTCACTGAGTTCCCATGGCCCTCGTGTGCAGGCAGAGAAACTGTTATCCCTTCTATTATGGACACCCTTCCGCAGAGTCAAAGGCAGTGCCATGATGAATGCAGTAAGCGCAGATTTGGCCCTTGCCAATGCTAACTTAGGGGCCTCCAAGAACTTTACATGCCTTAGCTTTTGCCTTCTCAATCAAACCCCAGCTAATGGGTGCAAAGCATTGCAGTCACAGATTACCTGGGTAGGCATGATAGAATCCTGGCCAGCTGGAGTTCATGGTTTTTCTGGTTTTGTTTTTCTGTCTTGGTAAGAAGGTTGAATGTATCTCCATCTCAGAAATAAAACTGGCTTCACATCTATTTCTCATTCTAAGTTGTTCTTAGACAATTTCTTCCCTTCTGGGAAGTTGAATGTGGGGGAAAGGGGAGAGAGACATGTCCTATTAGCTACCCTAATGCTCTAATTCAACAAAATGTATGGAGCTCTAGGCACTGAATTACCTTTGATTCCCAGAAGGTACCCAGGTCTTCCTCTTGGCAGCTGACCTTGGCATGGGTGTCCCCACCATCCAGAGTGCTTTTCTGTCTATCCCTTTTCTGGCCCACCCTATATAGCAGTCAGATCTCAGTTCTAATGTCCCCTTCTCCGGAAGCGATTCTGACCCTTCCCCAAGCTGTGTTGGTGCCTCCTCTGGGCCCCAGATCCCCTTATGTCTCCCCATCAAGGCACACAACATGTTAGAAGTGCTAGCTGTGGACTGCCTCCTCCATTAGACTGGCTGCTCCTTGAGGGCAGCACTTATTGCTGAGTCTCAGTTTATCTGTGGAACTGAATTCTCCCTTCCCAGGGCCTCAGTCTCATCCTACCACGAGCATTATCCTGTTATCCACTTTTGGTCCTGGTCCCTAGAGGGCGCCCCTTCTACTCCAGCCCCAGGCCCTCCCTCAGCCAGGCTCTGTTGCAGATGGTTCTCCAGGACGAAAATTTTGTCAGTAAAGAAGAGTTCCAGGCAGTGGAGAAGAAGCTGGTGGTAAGTAATGGCCTCTGCAGTCTCCTAATCTTCCCCCTTTTCCCAGGACCCCTGTGGTTAGGCAGGCTCATTAAGTATTAGCCTCTGATGATGGGTGCGGTGGCTCACAACTGTAATCCCAGCCCTTTGGGAGGCCAAGGTGGCAAATCACTTGAGGTCAGGAGTTTGAGACCAGCCTGGCCAACATGGTGAAACCCTGTCTCTACTAAAAATACAAAAAAAAAAAAAATTAGCCAAGCATGTGTGGTGGCAGGCGCCTGTAATCCCAGCTACTTGGGAGGCTGGGACAGGAGAATTGCTTGAACCCAGGAGGCGGAGGTTGTACTGAGCTGAGATCATGCCACTGCACTCCAGCCTGCGCAACAGAGTGAGACTCTGTCTAAAAAAAAAAAAAAAAGTAAAAAGAAAGGTCAGCCTCTGAGAACCTCCAGCCCTAGTAGCAAGGTGGCCAGAATCTCCCTGTGCCCTGGTGTCTATGTGTCTGTCTGAGAAGCGGGGCTGGTTAAGGGAGTCTAGGAGACCCAAGGCGGCCCAGGGTAATGAAGTGACTGCTGCCACCCCTGCAGGAAGAGAAAGCTGCCCATGCCAAGACCAAGGTCCTCCTGGCCAAGGAAGAGGAGAAGTTACAGTTTGCCCTCGGAGAGGTAGAGGTGCTTTCCAAACAGCTGGAGAAAGAGAAGCTGGCCTTTGAAAAAGCGTGAGTGGGCCTCAGTAGGGGGTGTGGGTTTTGGGGGACGCATCTGCTTGCTAGCCTGCCCACCCTCCCATCTTCCCCACCCAGGCTCTCCAGTGTCAAAAGCAAAGTCCTACAGGAGTCCAGCAAGAAGGACCAGCTCATCACCAAATGCAATGGTAGGCGGGAGGCCCGTGCTCTCCACCACGGTTATATAAACGGGCTCTTTCCTAACCACCCAGTGCCTGTGTCAAAGGCAGGGTTTCACTCTAACACCTGTCCCCAGCTGAGGATACAGGCAGGCCCAGGTGGGCCACACCTTCGAAAAGGCCTTAAGGGACCAGGCAGGCCACGGAAATGAGGGAAGCAGTCGGTGTACTATATTCTTCACCGCCATAAAGGAATGGGCTTGCTCCCATTTTTCCTGAAACATACAACCTTCTTAGTCCACCTTTTGTTTTCCCACTTTTGATGGGTTACTCCTAACTCTGATACAAGAGGAACACAGGGCAAGCACTGTCCTATTTGGGACTTGATCCTTAGTCTCAGGGTCAGGACTCAATAGGGAAGGGTGCACATGGTGACAGGGGGATAGGACTGCCAGATCTTTAAAATGGAAATTAATAATTATTTATATTTTTCTAAGACTGGGGATCACTGTGCTGCCCAGGCTGGTCTCAAATGACTGGGCTCAAGTGATTCACCCACCTCAGCCTCCCAAGTAGCTGGGACTACAGGTGTGAGCCACCATGCCCAGTGAAACCAAGTTGTTTTGTTTTGTTTTGTTTTATTGAGATGGAGTCTTGTTCTGTTGCCTAGGCTGGAGTGCAGCGGCACACGGCTCACTGCAAACTCCGTCTCCCAGGTTCAAGTGATTCTTCTGCCACAGCCTCCCGAGTAGCTGGGATTACAGGTGTGCACCACCACGCCTGGCTAATTTTTGTATTTTTGGTAGAGATGGGGTTTCACCATGTTGGTCAAGCTGGTCTCGAACTCCCCACCTCAGCCTCCCAAAGTGTTGGGATTACAGGCGTGAGCCACTGCACCCAGCCAAAACCAAGTTTTAATGGAAGCTTTTCTGACTTTTTAGTGTTGGCAGTTGATTTTGAAATTTTAAAACTATTGTGTAGGCCAAGTAAAATATCTGTGGGCTGCCAGTTTTCAACTCTGCTCTGTGCAGATGCCTGTGGGCCACTTGTTTGGCTCAGTTGGTGCCATAAGTTGTGGGGCACCTTTAGAGTCAGCTACACTGTGTCCTTACACCTCAGGAGCCCCATTTATTTCTTAGAATGCTAAACTCCCCTTACCCAGTTTAAGTATGGGCTGGGCGCAGTGGCTCATACCTGTAATCCCAACACTTTGGGAGGCCAAGGCAGGCGGATCACATGAGGTCAGAAGTTCAAGACCAGCCTGGCCAACATGGTGAAACCCCATCTCCACTAAAAATACCAAAAATTCCCTGGGTGTAGTGGCGGGAGCTTGTAATCCCAGCTACTCAGGAGGCTGAGACATGAGAATTGCTTGAACCCGGGAGGCAGAGGTTGCAGCAAGCTGAGATCGTGCCATTGCACTCCAGCCTGGGCAACAAGAGTAAAACTCCATCTCAAAAAAAAAAAAAAAAATGTAGGTATGAATTCCAGGCACAACATCTGCTTTGTTCACTGCAGCAGATCTCCAGTAGGCCAGAGCCCAAGCGCAAGAGGTTCAAGGTCCTTCCTGGTGAGGCTCCCACATGGAGCCTCGAGTACCCTGCCTTTCACCAATTCAGCCTTCTCTCTCTCCTGGTGAGTGCTCTCACTGGGAAGATGCCAGCAGGCTGACATCTTGATCTGGCCAGGCAGGCTGACAAGTCTCATAGTAATTTGGTCACTGGCTTCTGCCAGGGCAGGGCCCAACAGGCAGTCACTGCCCCCATGCTCAAGGCCATTGGTCCCCTCAGTTTTGCCCTCTCCCTGGGCATCCCCTTACTTCCCAAAAAAGAACCTGGGGTTCTTTCCTGGTGGGGCCAGAGACATCCGTCCCCTAGGTAATTTTCTTCCAACAGAGATCAGTCAAGCCCACGGGGCTTTGGATCTGCTTGTTGGTAGGTGTGTGTGTCATGGGGACAGGTCCTGGATGCCTCCCCCAGAATATTCAAAACCCCTCCAGTGGGACACAAGCCCTCTTGAGCCATTCTGGTGATGTGAACCTCACCCTGGCCAGTGCCTCCCACCCCATCCCTACAAACTCCCCTTGTGTGGTTCAGTTTGGTTTTTACACTTACATAGTTCTTCACTCTCAAAGGGATTTTCTAACCATTCTCTCATCATCGGGAGCCACAGGCTTTTATTTTCAAAGAGTCACACAAATTTCTAATTCTTTTTCCCAAACGAACTTCACAAGTAATTAATCCCACTTAGCTGGACGCCTGGGAAGGAGGTTCAACAGTCCTCATCCCATGACCTGGTGAACTCATGTCTTCATTCTCTCCCTCCACCTGTCTCCTCTTTTCCATGCTGCGCCTTCACTTTTTACCAGGTCTTCTCTTTTGTTTTTTTTGTTTGTTTGTTTTTGTTTTTTTTTTTTTGAGACAGAGTCTCGCTCTGCCGCCCAGGCTGGAGTGCAGTGGCCGGATCTCAGCTCACTGCAAGCTCCACCTCCCGGGTTTACGCCATTCTCCTGCCTCAGCCTCCCGAGTAGCTGGGACTACAGGCGCCCGCCACCACGTCCGGCTAATTTTTTGTATTTTTAGTAGAAACAGGGTTTCACCGTGTTAGCCAGGATGGTCTCGATCTCCTGACCTCATGATCTGCCCACGTTGGCCTCCCAAAGTGCTGGGATTACAGGCGTGAGCCACCGTGCCCGGCCTGTTTTTTTTTTTTGAAGCAGAGTCTGGGTCTGTTACCCAGGCTGAAGTGCAATGGCACGTTCTTGGCTCACTGCGACCTCCGTCTCTCTTGGGTTCAAGTAATTCTGCCTCAACCTCCAAAGTAGCTGGGATTACAGGCATGTGCCACCACACCCGGCTAATTTTTGTATTTTTAGTAGAGACAGGGTTTCACCATGTTGGCCAGGCTGGTCTTAAACTCCTGACCTCAGGTGATCCATCCGCCTTGGCCTCCCAGAGTGCTGGAATTACAGGCGTGAGCTACTGTGCCCGGCCCCTTGTCCAGCCTTTAAAGATGGTAGGATTTTCTTTCTGTGGGAATCAGAATTTTCCAGGGTGCCATGTGGGGCAGTTATGTAAATGAAGCACCCCAGATCCCTATAGTCTCCTTGGATTTTGATCCAACACAGAAAAATTATCATTTATTTATTTATTTATTTTTTAGAGACAGGGTCTTGCTCTGTCACCCAGACTGGAGTGCAGGTGCACAGTCATACCTCATTGCAGCCCCCAACTCCTGAGCTCAAGTGATCCTCTTGCCTCAGCAAGTAGCCAGGACTACAGGCGCGTTCCACCACCATGCCCAGCTAGTTTTTTTTTTTTTTTTTTTTTTTTTTAAGTTTTGTAGAGGCGAGGTCTCACTATGTTGCCCGGACTGGTCTCTTACTTCTGGGCTCAAGCCTCAGAAAGTCATCTTTGCCCAAATGTACGATTAATTTGGGGGTAGGCTTTGCCACCACTATCTCACTGGTTCTTCCCTATACCACTGTGGGATAGGGCTGTCTCTTTCCCCATCCTTGAAATGAGGAAACAGGTCTGAAAATCCAGGCAACTCCATCTTCTCCCATCAACCCTGAAGCCCTAGCACAAGGCTGGGCATCCAGCCAGCCCCCGGGAAGTTTGGTTGGACTAGATGATTGAACTAGGTCATGTTTCTAAGTCCTAACCCCCCAGGAACATCCCATTCATTCGGTCTGCAAATATACTTTTTGTATACCTATTATGTGCCAGGTACTGTTTTAGGCATTAGGGATAAAGGTGTGAATAAAACAAAGATCCTTGTCCTAGTGGACCTTACATCCTAGTAGCAGAGAAGACAGATGAATAAAGTATATGGTATGTTAGGTAAAAGTGTTAAGAAAAATAAAGCAGGATGTCGGGCATGGTGGCTCACTCCTGTAATCCCAGCATTTTGGGAGGCCGAGGTGGATGGATCACCTGAGGTCACGAGTTCGAGACCAGCCTGGCCAACATGGTGAAACCCCATCTCTACTAAAAATACAAAAATTAGCCAGGTGTGGTGGCAGGTGCCTGTAATCCCACCCAGCTATTTGGGAGGCTGAGGCAGGAGAATTGCTTGAACTCAGGAGGAGGAGGTTGCAGTGAGCCAAGATCATGCCACTGCACTCCAGCCTGGCAACAGAGCAAGACTCAGTCTCAAAAAAAAAAAAAAAAAAGAAAAGAAAAAGAAAAAGAAAGCAGAAAGCAGGAAGAGGGAGTAGGAAGTACTGGGAAATGTAATTTTTAGATGAGGGAGAGTTTCTCCAAGGAGGCAACATCTGTAAAGACCTGCTGGAGTTGAGGGCAGGTGCCATTCATCTTCCAGCCTTTGGGCAGGACTGCCCACCTCTCTCCAAGGACCTTCTCCTGCCCTCATGTGGGTCCTCTGGTCCAGAATAGACTTGTGAAGTCATTGACAACAATCCTCAAACACTGCACTCCCCCAAGACTACATAATAAACTCATTCATACTAAGGTATTAGCAGTTCTTCATGGAGAACTCCTGGGTGGGCAGCCAAGCTCTGAAAAGCCCCATGAGGGAATGCCTTATCTCAGGAAGGAGCCCTGGGATGGGAACCACCCCTCCTCCCTGCCTCTTTCCCCCACAGAGATTGAGTCTCACATTATAAAGCAAGAAGATATACTTAATGGCAAAGAGAATGAGATTAAAGAGTTGCAGCAAGTTATCAGCCAGCAGAAACAGATCTTCAGGTGAGGGGTCTGGGCCTGGCTGGGGGTGTTGATGACACTGGGGAGCCAGACCTCTGGCCCCTACATACCCTGGGCTGTCTACAGTCCACCACCAGCGGGCTCCATTGCAGGAATCACATGTCTGACTTCCGGATCCAGAAGCAGCAGGAGAGCTACATGGCCCAGGTGCTGGACCAGAAGCATAAGAAAGCCTCAGGGACGCGTCAGGCCCACAGCCACCAGCATCCCAGGGAAAAATAAAATGGCCGCCGCTTTCCTGTTCTCTGGCTGTAATCCCCAGCCTCTGCCTTCTCTGCTCTGGGAGTCCCCAGCCTCTAGGCCCTGCTACTTCCCTCCCTTTTGGGTACTGGTAGCGGTCCACAAGGTGGGGGCTTGTAGCCTACGGGAGGAGCTGGGTCTTTGTTGTCTGGTAGGCACCACCGCTTCCTTTGGGTATTTAATCCCTTCCTATATAAACAGCCCTGGTTACCCAGTAACATCCCACCCCACTCCCAGTGTCCTGGTAAATTTGACTCTCCCAACTTGACTACAGGGCTGGAAGCCCTGACCAGAAACTTCAGAGACAGTGGGTTCCAGAACCACAAGGAATTTGGGAAGTCAGTTTCTATCACATGACAATAATGTTATACCTGCAAATTGCATTTGCACTTGCTGACCCTCCCCCAAACAAATAGGAGCTTCACAAATGGGAGGAAGAGAAAAGACAATGCTGTGTGTGGTTTTAAGGTGGAGAAACAATCTGGGAAGGGACCTGGACTTGCACAAGTTGCACAGGTAGGGCTGGATGGGATGGTCTAGCAACATTCTTTCAGAAGCCATCACTGAGTGTCCCCTAGATGATCATGGGGACACACCCAGGCAGAGGACCCACTTCAGGGGTCAGGTTAGCCCAGTGTAGCCTGTCCTGGGTCAGTTTGAGGCCAAGTACACAGGAGGGGTCAGTGCTCTTGCTCCAGGGCCAGCTGGGGCCTGAGTCATAGCAGGACCTTGAAGCCAGAAGTTTAAGGGCAAGTGGTGCCCACAGTTGTAAGACAATGACAGGTGGTGGCTGCCTCCCCACCAGTGCCTGTCCCCAGGGCAGGTCCTAAGGCTGTGGGGGCTGAAATTAGGGCCTTGTGAGTGCCTGGGGGAGCACAGGGCTGTTCTGGCTTCAGGGGCCTTTGGAGCTGGGACCACAAGCTACTTCGAAGCTTCCCATGGGACCCCACATCGGTATCCAGGGCCTGTTCTAGGTGCTGAGGCAGATTGTGAAAACTAGAGCTGTCCACTCCAGCCCCTTCCGATAGGTCCCACTGAGGGCAATGGGTCCAGCCAGGGTAGTACCTTCCTGAGGCCCTGAGGAGTCAGGGAGGCCTCTATTGGTCGGTACTCCTTACTCTACTGAAGGTTGGGGATCGGGGAGAGTGTAACTGGGACCAAGGAAGGTGGTGTGTGCACCCTTAGAAGCTCTAGCTGAGGCCAGCAATGGCAATGGGGGTCCCCTGCAGTGATGTTAAGACACCCGGGGCTGAGGGGAAGATGAAATTGCTGACTCTACCAGAGTCTCCTGGTCTGAAGGTCTGGCTCACAGCCTGAACCGCACACAGCAGTGCCTGACTTCAGGCAGATCCCTGCTGGGCTTCAGTTTCCTCACCTGTGATGGGTGGAGCTGGGCCTAACTCCTGGCTCCAATGCTTCAAAAGTTGGGCATGCCATTACCTCACCTGCCTGTCCGCCAAAACTTGGAGCCCACCCCAGGTACTCCGGCTTGTGCCTGAGAAGGGGGTTAGTTGGGCATGGGGGCTGGACAGGGAAGGGTGCAGGGCCCAGGTCTCTTCTGCTGCAGGCGCCGCTGGCTCAGGAGTGGACGCGGCCGCTTTAAGGCGCGGTGACCCCACGGCATCCTCGGGCGGGGCGGGGACAGTGCCGGCGCCACCAGCGGAGGCGAATGCGAGGGAGATAGTGCGCGGCGTCCGGCCCCACCATGCTGACAGCGCTCGCCCCGCCAGCCTTGCCTGGGATCCCGAGACAGCTGCCCACGGCCCCCGCGCGGCGCCAGGACTCCTCCGGTTCGTCAGGCTCTTACTACACGGCTCCGGGTTCTCCGGAGCCCCCGGACGTTGGGCCGGACGCGGAAGGCCCAGCGAATTGGCCCTGGGTGGCCCCTGGGCGGGGGGCGGGTGCCCAGCCTCGCCTGTCCGTCAGCGCCCAGAATAGCCGCCAGCGGCACGGGCCCGGCTCGGGTTTCTCGCGAGGCCCGGGCTCCGGCCCACTGCCACCCCAGCCCCAGCTGCGCACGCTGCCGTCGGGGGAGATGGAAGTCATCTTCGGCGTCGGGCCCTTGTTCGACTGCTCCGGCGCAGAGGATCGCGAGGCACAACAGCTCACGGAGCCGGCCTTCATTAGCCCTTTGCCGCCGGGGCCAGCGTCTCCCACTCCTGTCCCACGTCAGTCCCAGGCCCCAGATGGTGGCTCCCGCTGGGCCACCTACCTAGAGCTGCGGCCCCGTGGGCCAACTCCTGCAGCCCCAGCGCAGTTCGAGTGTGTGGAAGTGGCTCTGGAGGAGCGCGCCGCACCCGCCAGGCCCCGGACGGTGCCCAAGCGTCAGATCGAGCTGCGCCCCCGGCCCCAGAGTCCCTCGCGGGCGGCCGGCGCGCCGCGCCCCCGGCTGCTCCTGCGCACCGGCTCCCTGGACGAGTCGCTGGGCCGCCTGCAGGCCGCCGCGGGCTTCGTGCAGACGGCGCTGGCCAGAAAACTGAGCCCCGAGGCCCCGGCCGCGAGCAGCGCCACCTTCAGGCCCACGGGGCTGTCGGAACCTGCGACCCGGGAAACGTCCCGCAGCACCCGCGTGGTCCTGGAGAAGACTAAGTCTCGGCCACTTCGCGTACAAGATAATTCGGCCCCCGCCAAAGCCCCGAGGCCGTGGCCCAGCCTCCGCGAGCGCGCGATTCGGCGCGACAAGCCTGCGCCCGGAACGGAGCCGCTGGGTCCTGTTAGCTCCAGCATCTTCCTTCAGTCAGAGGAGAAGATCCAGGAGGCGCGGAAGACTCGATTCCCGCAAGAGGCGCCGCATCGAACTGTCCAGAGGGCACGGAGTCCGCCTTTTGAGTGTAGGGTCCCCTCGGAGGTTCCGAGTAGGGCTGTGAGGCCAAGAAGCCCGTCCCCGCCGTGGCAGGCTCCAAACGGGGCTGTACGGGGTCCTCGCTGCCCGTCGCCCCAGAACTTGTCCCCGTGGGATCGGACTAGTCAGAGGGTGAGTAGCCCATTGTTCCCTGAAGCCTCCTCCGCGTGGGAAAATCAGAATCTCGCCGTCGAGGAAACTGTCAGCAGGAGAAGCCCTTCCCCTCAGATCCGTTCCCAGTGGAATCAGTGTGTTGCTGGGGAAAGGAGCCCGTCCTTCGAAGCCCCTTCCCAGTGGGAGATTCCACATTCGGCAGTCGGGGATACGGTGGAGCCAGGTAGCAGCCCGTCCCCGCCGGCCTTCTTCCCGTGGGAGGCTCCAGATCGTCCTATTGGAACTTGGGGCGCATCTCCCCAAGAGACGTGGGACCCCATGGGGCCAGGCGCATCGTTAGCATTTACTCAGGAAGCTCAGAATGGGTTAACTCAGGAGGAATTGGCACCGCCTACACCGTCCCCACCCGGGACTCCAGAACCAGCAGAGATGCAGAGTCCATCCACGCGGGAGATTCCGGATCTTGCCTTTGGAGGGAGTCAGCCGTCCCCAGAGGTGGCAGCACCCGACAGCCACCTTGTGGGCACCCTGGACGCCGATAAGTGCCCGGAAGTCTTGGGTTCTGGAGAGGCGGCTTCAGGACGTCCGCGCGTGGCCATTCCGCGGCCTCGAGACGTGCGCAAGTTGGTGAAGACCACTTACGCGCCAGGCTTCCCGGCAGGAGCCCCAGGCTCAAGGCTGCCTGCGCCTCCTGCCGACCCCTGCGGGGAGGAGGGCAGCGAATCCAAGACGCAAGAGCCGCCGGCACTGGGGCCCCCGGTCCCGGCTCACTACACTTCCGTTTTCATCAAGGATTTTCTACCGGTCGTGCCGCACCCCTACGAGCCTCCAGAACCGTCCTTCGACACGGTCCCCCAGGACGCCTCACAGCCCAACGGGGTCATGCGGCGGAGGGCAGAGAACAGCACGGCGAAGCCCTTCAAGCGCACAGAGATCCGCCTGCCTGGGGTCCTGGCCTTGAGTCGCCGGCCCGAGGTAACCTCGGGAGTGCGAGCGCGCGGCCCTGGAGGAAAGAACAGGGATGCAGAGGCCCAGCGCCTTGTCCCCGACGGCAAGGGTCGGACCAGCCCTCTAGGCGGCGCCCGCAGCTCATCCCAGCGATCCCCCGTAGGGCCAGCAGGGGCCCGATCGCCCCGCCCTAGCTCCCCTCAGGTGCACGCCAGCCCGAGCCCTGGGATAGCACTGAAACCGAAGACACCTCCTACGGCCCCCGAGCCCGCGGCTGCCGTCCAGGCGCCACTCCCGCGGGAGCCCCTGGCGTCGGCGGGCAGGACGGCCCCCGCCCAGCCCCGTGCTGCCTCGGCGCCTCCCACAGACCGGTCCCCGCAAAGCGCCTCCCAGGGAGTGCGCAAGCCGCCCGGGGCCGCGCCCAGGGGGAAGGTCTTGGTGGACCCCGAGAGCGGCCGCTACTACTTCGTGGAGGCGCCGCGTCAGCCTCGGCTGCGGGTGCTCTTCGACCCCGAGAGTGGGCAGTACGTGGAGGTGCTGCTGCCGCCCTCGTCCCCTGGGCCGCCCCACCGCGTCTACACCCCTCTGGCCCTGGGCCTCGGCCTCTACCCGCCTGCCTATGGGCCTATACCCAGCCTCTCCCTGCCACCGTCCCCAGGCCCGCAGGCTCTCGGCAACCCCCAGCTACCCTGGGTCTCTGAGGCAGGGCCCCTGGACGGGACCTACTACCTGCCAGTGAGCGGAACCCCCAGCCCTGCACCTCCTCTGCTCTTCTGTGCGCCGCCCTCCAGCTCAGTTCCCACCCAGCCCGGCAAGGGTTCCTTGTTCCCACTGTGAGGCCCCGGGCAGATCCCCATGGAGTTGGAGCCCTTGGATGGCCTGGGAGGTTCTGGCATCCAAGCCCCTACCCTCCTCTCTTTCCGCTGCCTCTGTCTTTAACCCATCCCAGCCAGTCGTCGGACAGGAAGTGATCTTCAGAGAATGAATCTGAGCCCCAAGGCTGGCGGAGCTGGAGTCACCCAGGAAGTGGCTGCCTACTTCCTCTCCCAATGAAATTATGTATCCCTTTCCCAGGCATTCCCAGGGCATGGTGTGGTGTGTGTGGGTGTGTGTATATGTGTATATGTGGGCAAGCAAATAGGGAAAGTGAGGCATCCCTGGGCTTGTCCCCAGGAGCCCATCAGAGGAGGTGCTGGGGCTGCCCTGTGGCAGCAGGAACCGGAGCAGCAGGAGACAGGGCGGGGAACTGTCTGCCTTTCCTGATAGCAGGCCCAGGTGAGGTGAGGCTGGCCAGTGCCCCTGGTGAGGTGGCAGGAAGGACTGGCTGTCAAGTCTGCTCTTAGGAAGAGGAGCTGAGCTTTGGCCTTGGAGGCTACTGGGGGGAAAGTGGCCAGTACAGCCCCAGGCCAGGCTGGCTCTGAGAAAGGGAGCTAAGGCAGGGGGACAGCAGGTGGAAGCAAAGCAAGGAATACAGGGAGGGCCTGGGTCAGGGGTGAGCCTGGAACTTGGGGTGGGAAGATGGGGAGCCTGGCCCTCAGAGCTGAGCTGACTCATTTTTGGGCCAGGGGTGGGGCTTCTGTCCCCGACCCCCTACATCGGGAGTAGGTGAAATGGTCATCAGGAAGGTCTGAGAAGAGGGAGGGTTGGGCTCTTGTCCCACAGGAGTCTCTTGACCCCTCTGTGTGGTTAGAAGGTGGGTTAGGGCTGGCAGTAGAAGCGATACCCCTGGTGGAGTAGCCAGAGGGACCTGCAGCTCTTGGCAGATTCTACTCCCCAGTAACAGATGTGGCAACAAGGCCCAGAGAGGGGCTGGCCCTACAGACCAGTCACAGCAAGGGACAGGGCCCAGAGCCTGCACTTCAGTTGCCCTGAGATTCCAGGAGCCTCTGAGGGAGATGAGGGGGGTCTGCATGAGGTGGGAGGTGGTGTGCGTGGGGGTCTGTGTATAGTTCTGAACCAGAAATGGCTGGCCCTTGCCAGCCTGGTGTGTGATGTGATGAGTTTGCGAAGGACAGTTTCCATGAGAAGCAGTGGCAAGGATGGGGATGGATGCCTTCGTTGTTCCAGGCCTGTGAGGGGGCCCAGGTCCCTAGCAGTCCCTGCCCTCTGCCCTGGACTGGAAATTGATTAGGAGAGCTATGAGTCAGAACAATTGGCCATTTTCTGGCTGGAGACACCAGCTCCGATGGCATGGAGGCCCTGGGACCACCCCAGGTGCCTTTACCTCATCCTGGTGTGTAATAAATCACTGACCATGGAGCCATGATGGCTGAAATAACTGGTGTGAGGTGCCTGATTTCCTGCCATGGCCTCTCAACACCCTCCACAATGTCCTTCCATGCCTGGGTATGGCCTGGGTGGAGGGGACCTCAGGGCTAGGGAAGGAGACCATGTGTGTCTTAGAAACACTGTAGCATCCCTGTCTCCCTGAATTTGCCTCCCAAGAGGCTGGCAGCCACACCTCATTCCTTCTGGTGGTTGAGTGGCCAGGGGGCCTTGGGTCAATCAGGCTTGGGTTTCTCAGCATGGCCCCTCTAGCTATGTGGCCTTGGATTTGTCACCTCTCTCTGAGCCTTTGTGTCGGAAAAGGCAGAATAAACATGACAGTCTTATTTCTCAGAAAGGTCAATGAAAAAAGATGACGGTAGCCAACCAACTGTTCCCACAAGGTACTCAGCAGAGTGCCTACCACTTAGCCAGATCACAGGATGTGGGAGGTATGGGCCCCTGTGTGTTCCTGCCCAGGCCCAGCCCCTTTCCTTGCCTCATTGCTCCCTATCTGTGAAATGGAGCTGAGATGGCTGGAGCCAGGGTCCAGCTAGAGGACATGCCCACGTGGCATCTTCAGGGCCCTGGAGGAGGGAGTGGGAGGAGGATGGGAGGGGTGAGGTGTCAGTTCCCCATTGGTCTAGGCCAGGTGTTCTGCGGCAGTCCCCACACCACACAAGCACACACACATCTGCACCTCAGCCACATCCTACACTTGCTGAACTGGCTCCTGGGGCCATGAGGCTGTCACTGCCACTGCTGCTGCTGCTGGGAGCCTGGGCCATCCCAGGGGGCCTCGGGGACAGGGCCCCACTCACAGCCACAGCCCCACAACTGGACGATGAGGAGATGTACTCAGCCCACATGCCCGCTCACCTGCGTTGTGATGCCTGCAGAGCTGTGGCTTACCAGGTGAGTCCTTCACTCACACCCCTTCTCAAGCCAGACCCCTCCATCCACCTCACATTCTACCACCAGCCTTTGATCCCCAATCCCTACCACTGGGCATCAAGCCACAGATGCAGTCTTTAATTATATTCCATGCCTCAGTTTACCCATCTGCCTGCCCAACAGAGAGCAGACAATCTGGGAGGCCTCTATCGTATCTTGAGACCCCAGGGAATCACTCACTTGTCCTTAGGCTTCTCCCTTTCCAGGCCCATCCTTGGTACTGGACTCCCTCCCCAAACCTGACGGGGCGACTTTGGCTATGTGTACATGGTGCACGTGCACACGTGTGAGCACCTGCACGTGAGTATGCGTGTCTGGGTTCACACACACATCTGCTGAGCATGCCTGCGCACCAGTGTCTCTGTGAGGTGGGGGCCTGGGAGTACTTGTGCTGTTAGTTTTTCTTACCTTGTTCTTGTGGTTTAAAATGGCATATGCTGGCCGGGTGCAGTGGGTCGTGCCTATAATCCCAGCACTTTGGGAGGCTGAGTGGGGCCGATCGCCTGAGCTCAGGGGTTTGAGACCAGCCTGGCCAACATGGTGAAACCCTGTCTCTACCGAAAATACAAAAAATTAGCTGGGTTTGGTGGTGCCCCTGTAGTCCTAGCTACCTGGAGGCTGAGGGAGGAGAGTTGATTGAACCTGAGAGGCGGAGGCTGCAATGAGCTGAGATCACATCCCCGCACTCCAGCCTGGGCGACGGAGGGTGTGAGACTCTAAATAAATAAATAAAAATAAAATGGCACGTGCCACTGGGCAGGTGTGCCCTGGAGGAGGGACCCCAGTGCCCAGGCCTCACCTACCACTTTAGCATTTCTTTCCCATCCCCCACTCCCACCCCAGGGAGCTTTGGGGGCTGGGGGAGGGGCCGTGCAGCAGCCTTACAGGTGCTTCCTGCTCAAACAGCTCTCTTGCGGCCTTAATCTCCCCAGAGACTCTGCTCCTATCCTCCCCACCTCCCCCTAACTGAGCAGCAGTCCTGAGGCCCTGCCTCCCAGTCCCTCCTTGTTCCAGATGTGGCAAAATCTGGCAAAAGCAGAGACCAAACTTCATACCCCAAACTCTGGGGGGCGGAGGGAGCTGAGCGAGTCGGTCTACACGGATGTCCTGGACCGGAGCTGCTCCCGGAACTGGCAGGAGTGAGTTGAAAATCCTGCCCCCACCTCCCTCCTCCAAGGGCAGGCCTGGTGAGTGGAGATTCCCACTCACCTGCTCACACGACACACACTCCACTAGGACCCTGGTCCAAGGAAGGGGCTGGCTGGGATGAAGTCTGGGCTCTGGAGCTGAGAGCAAGTGGGAGAGCAGATGGCCAGCAGACAAGGTCACCTTGTGACCTTGGGCCAAGGGCCTTCCCTCTCTGAATTCCGCAAACACCCAGCATGTCCAGCTTGGTGTGGAGAAGGGTCTCTCCCTGGCTGGGCTCCTGCCAAAGCTGTACTCCTCTCCTCTCCACTGCCACCAGCTATGGAGTTCAAGAAGTGGACCAAGTGAAACGTCTCACAGGCCCAGGACTTAGCGAGGGGCCAGAGCCAAGCATCAGTGTGATGGTCACAGGAGGCCCCTGGCCTACCAGGTGATGCCCGGGGCTTGGGGATAGAATGAAGCTCCTGGAGCCTTGGTTTGCCCCACTGTGGGCTGGGCAGCATCTGAGGCTCCCACTGGGCTCCCCTAGGCTCTCCAGGACATGTTTGCACTACCTGGGGGAGTTTGGAGAAGACCAGATCTATGAAGCCCACCAACAAGGCCAAGGGGCTCTGGAGTCATTGCTGTGCGGGGGACCACAGGGGGCCTGCTCAGAGAAGGTGTCAGCCACAAGAGAAGAGCTCTAGTCCTGGACTCTACCCTCCTCTGAAAGAAGCTGGGGCTTGCTCTGAGGGTCTCCACTCCCATCTGCAGGCAGCCAGGAGGGCAGGAAGACCTTGCTCTGTGCTGCCATCCTGCCTCCTTCCTCCAGCCTCAGGGCCCTGGGGCCTGGGTGGGAGCCAAGGCCTTCTCCTCTGGACTCAAATAAAACCCAGTAACCTCACTTCTTTTCTTTGCAAAAGGTGCTTGGGGGGCTGGGAGTGCAGACATTGGTGTTTCTTCTGATGTCCCTTCTAAGGAAAAAAAAAAAAACAACTCTCAAAATCAATTTTTTTTTTTTTTTTTTTTTTTGAGACAGTCTCTGTCACCCAGGCTGGAGTGCAGTGATCTTGGCTCAATGCAACCTCCACCTCCCAGGTTCAAGAGATTATCCCACCTCAGCCTCCTGAGTGGCTGGGATTACAGGCACCCGCCATCATGCCTGTCTAATTTTTGTATTTTTAGTAGAGACAGGATTTCACCATGTTGGCCAGGCTGGTCTTGAACTCCTGACCTCAGGTGATCCACCCACCTTGCCTCCCAAAGTGCTGGGATTACAGGCATGAGCCACTGAGCCCAGCCTTCAAAATGCTTTTTCTATTCTCTCACTCCACAACAACACAGAAGATGGCTGTGACCAAATGCGTGGGGGCTTTCCCCCACACACCAGACAAGCAGTTCTGCAGCCGACACCAGCTGGGTGCCCTCCAAAATTTAACTCTGGCACTATCTACCTGGAGATAGCATCAGATCCCACAGGCTGAGGACTCAGTCCCCTGTTCTGTCCCCTATTCCTATGCCAGTTCCAACTCCAGGCCTCTGGAGCTTCTGGCCTATTGGCTTCAAGATGAGGTTTCCACAACCCCCTCTTTGAGTTCAACTAATTTGCTAGAGTGGTTCATAGAGCTCAGAGAAACATTTGCCAGTTTATTATAAAGGATGTTACAAAGGATACAGATGAAGAGATGTGTAGGGCAAGGTATGGGGAATGGGCTCGGAGCTTCCATGCCCTTCATGGATGCATCACCAGCCAGGAACCTCCACGTGCTCAGCTATCCAGAAGCTCTCTGAACCCCGTCCTTTTGAGTTTCTGTGGATAATTCATTAGGTAGGCATGATTCATTAAGCCATTGGCCATTGGCGAACAACTTACCCTCCAAGCTGTCTGCTCTCCCTTGGCTGGGGGTGCGGGGTAGGGGGCTGAAATCCTGCCTTGGTCTCTCTGGTAACCAGTCCCTGTCCTGAAGCTACTCTAGGGGCTGCTAGCCATCAGTCAATCATTAGCACACAAGAAGACATCATTTTGGGAATTCTAAGATTTTAGAAATTGTACTCCAGGAAACAAGGTCAAAGACCAAATATATATTTCACAATATTACATCCCTCCTACAGAAGGCCAAATATACATCCCTACAACTTCCAGAGGTAAGAGAGCGCCGTCAATGGCGTAGTGATGTAACCGCCCAAAGGGTTCACCTTGCCCAAGCCTAGACAGAGCTGATTTCTCAAGACCGGGGAATTCAATGAAGAGTAATGAATGCAGAGGTGGCTGTGCAGGAGACCAGAGTTTTACTATTACTCAAATCAGTCCCCTCAAGCATTCGGGGAGCAGAATTTTTTGTTTGTTTGTTTTTGTTTTTGTTTTTTTTTTGAGACAGAGTCTCGCTCGGTCACCCAGGCTGGAGTGCAGTGGCGCGATCTCGGCTCACTGCAAGCTCCGCCTCCTGGGTTTACGCCATTCTCCTGCCTCAGCCTCCCAAGTAGCTGGGACTACAGGCGCCCGCCACCACGCCTGGCTAATTTTTTTTTTGTATTTTAGTAGAGACGGGGTTTCACTGTGTTAGCCAGGATGGTCTCGATCTCCTGACCTCGTGATCTACCCGTCTTGGCCTGCCAAAGTGCTGGGATTACAGGCTTGAGCCACCCCGCCGGGCCAGAGCAGAGTTTTTAAGGACAACTTGATGGATGGCGGGGAAGCCAGTGAGCCAGGAGTGCTGATTGGTCAGGACTGAAATCATAGGAAGTCGAAGCTGTCTCCTTGCCTTGAGTCAGTTCCTCGGTGGGAGCCACAAGTCCCAATGAGGCAATTTATGGATCTGGGTGGTGCCAGCTGATCTATCAAGTGAGGATCTGCAAAGTATCTCAAGCGCTGATTTTAGGAGCAGTTTAGAGAGGGTCAGAATCTTGTAGCCTCCAGCTGCATGACTCCTAAACCACAATTTCTAATCTTGTGGCTAATGTTAGTCCATCCTACAAAGGCACTCTAGTCCTCAGGCAAGAAGGAAGTCTGCTTTGAGAAAGGGCTGTTATTGTCTTTGTTTTAGACTATAAACTAAAAACTAAGTTTCTCCCAAGGTTAGTTCAGCCTACACTCAGGAACGAAGAAGGACAACTTGGAGGTTAGAAGCAAGATGGAATGATTAAGTTAGATCTCCTTCACTGTCTCAGTCATAATTTTGCAAAGGTGGTTTCAGTGACATCCCAGGTCTTCAGAACCATCATGAGAAAAGAGAACCAACGAAAACTCGGCACGCAGGCCACCTTGTGGCACACCTACTCCAGCTACTCCATGCTGTCTGCGCCCCTCCCAGAACACACGTCTCACTGGGTCTACACCTAATGGCTGTTCATTTTCCACACTCTGCCTTTACCCCAGCTGGTATGGATGGGCCCTGGATTTCTGACCAGCCAGATTCAACATTTTGGTTCTCAGTCCTGCTTTCCCCAGAAATTCTTCTGGCTGAGCCTTTTCCTTAGTAAAGGAGCCCTGGACCCCACCTAGGTCTGGGAACTGGAGATCGGTGGCACCAGAACTTTCAGTTTCCTTTGTGAGTGTCTCTGATCTGGCCAAGCCCTGGGAGAGAGACAGAACATTCTAACCCCCATTTTTAGAAATATTTTTATTTTACACAAGAGCCACGTGTAGGAAGACAATCTAATCCCCCTTTGACAGATGCAGAAACCAAAACTTAGACAACAGAAGAGGTTCAGGCCAAGTCCCAGGCTGAGTCGTAGCAGGGCTGGGAGGGGATTCAGACTTAGGGGACTGGGGAGGCCAGCTGCTGGGGAAATGGAGGTGCCCGGGGCAGGCCCTGGCCACTCCAGCTTCCCCGGGAGCTGCGCTCAGCCCCCTCCATCCTTCACCTGTTCCAGGACTTGCCTGAAGCCCCACCTTCCCTGGCCTTCCCTCAGGAGAGAACCCCCAAACACCAGGAGGAAAGCCCAAGAAACCCACTAAGCTGTCAGTAGGACAGGGTGTGGAGCCGGGCCCCCGGGACATGGACGTGTGTTTTTCTGTGGGGTGATTAGAGAGGCTGCATCAGTTCTGGTGTGTGGGCCCCTTCGTGCTACTGTGGATCTGGGACCTTGTTCTCCACCTTGTTCTTTATGTGTATTGTGTGGTTTGGGTTGAATTGAGCGTCCATGGACCCCTGTCTGCAAGGGGTGGGGCTTGGTATCCACAGCCCCCTGGGGAGTTCTGGGAGGAGGGGGTGGAGAGGAAAGTGCTGGGGAGTTGCAGAGGCTTCAAACTGGTCCAGCAACTTGGGAAATTGGGAGTAGGAGCCAAGAGGGAGAGGAGAGGACAAGTGGATGGACAGAGGAACAGTGTGGACACCGGCAGGCAGGCGGACTCAGTGCTGTGGCATGAACCTGCTGTCCAGTTGGAGAGCGGTGCTGCCCCTTGGCCCTGCGGGCAGGGCCTGGCCATGGGCACAGCCACCCAGAAGTAGGTAGGCCCTAGAGTGCTGGGGCTGGGGCAGCCCAGAGGGAACAGAATGGGGACCTCAGGCCTAGCCCTCACCAGCTGAGGAGCCTGAGCTCTTAGGGCCCCTCCCCATGTCCCCCCTGCCATCCTCAGGCCCTGCTGGGCTGGGCCTGCCAGGAGGGGAGAGAGTTTGGGCATAGGACTGCCTTCCTGGGCTGGGTGATGGGCAGTCACACCGGGCTTGGTGTATAGAAAGGCCCCATGCTCCATCTGATGCTCTTGCTATCTTTAAATTCTTTATACTTTTGGAATAAAGGCCTCACATTCTCACTTTGCACTGGGTCCCACAAATTATGTGACTGGGAGGGAAAGGGATCTGTGTCCTGACACAGGGTGCAGGCCAGGCTGGGCCAGCCTAGGCAGCTCCATCTGCAGAGGCCCATCTGCTGCCTGCCTCAGGGACCCTGAGGGGTGCAGGTGGTGGGGGCAAGGCAGCTCAGACCAACCTGAATTTTAGGATTGGTTTCTGCAACCTTGCTATCTGCATGGCTTGGGTCAAATCACATCTACTGAATCTGTTTCCTTTGCTGTTAAAGGGGTTAATACTGCCCAGCACAGGGGTTACTTGAGACAGTGCAAATCCATGTTTCTTGGCACAAGGCCATTCCTTAATAACGAGAATGACTATGATGATGATGATAATGATGAACTGGTTATTAATAAATGGGGAAGGGCCTCATACAGGGGGTTACATAATAAGTGCCTGTTTCCACTCCCTCTTTCTCCCCTCACCTGGGGCTTGGTAAACTTCTGGTCCTCACCCCCTCGACTCTGGCCCTCTCTTGGGAAACAAGAACAGGTCCAGCACCCAGGTGCAGATGTGGGCAGGGAAGGGCACATGTGGCAGAGGCTTAGGTGGCTTTTACTGCCCTAGTGAGAGTTAATACATTACCTCTGCCCAGGCCCCCCTTTCGCAATCCGGAGCTGGGCATCTGGTTACAGATTTACTTCGAACAATGCCTGATATGTGGAGTAAAGTCCTCCTCCTTGGCCTTTGTAAAGTCCTCCCCTCTTCTCCTCAGGAACTGCTCAAACCTGTGCCCCAAAGATGAGGGCCCACGAGGACCCCGAGGGCCCAACACAGGTGCTGGGGGCTGGGGGTGGGGGCTAGGTGGGGGCGGGGGGCGGTGGGGGGCTGGAGGGCCTGTGCAGGCCTTCTCCCGGGAGGCCAGAGATAAACATTCTGATGAACTTGATAAAGAGTGACTGTCCTAAACTGAATGTGGCAACTGGGGGATGGGTGGGGGTGGGGGTCAAGAAGCCTGCAGCTTTGGGACTGGCTGACTCTAGGTTGGGGTTCAGGAGAGGCCTAACCTCCCCGCCAGTGACACCCCAAAGATCTCCAGGGGGCAGAGGTGGGACCGGATTGGACTTGTCCACAGTCTCGAGCCCTCTTGGCCCCCTCTCCTGTGGTCCCCAGACCTCTGACTTAGGGGTCCATTTCCCTGGCTAAAATGACAGGTCCTGAGGGCTCTAGAAGCCGGCACAAAAGACTCATCCCTGTGGGAAGCAATGTGAAGTGGGAGACAACTGTGGCCAGGCCGAGTGGGAACCGGGTGGATGAACTGTTGGGGAGGGCAGGGACCCCACTCTCAGTTGCTGACAGGCCACTCGGGCTGCCTGATTGTTTTCGGGGCAGAATGGATTTTGCCTGTCCCCATCACTCCACCCTAAGCTACTTATCTCTGCTGCCCCTAGCATGAATCCCCCAGGGACCCTCCGACCCCCCTACCCACAGAGCCTAAGTTTGACATGTTGTACAAGATCGAGGACGTGCCGCCTTGGTACCTGTGCATCCTGCTGGGCTTCCAGGTGGGTCCCCCAGGGCCTCCCTGCCCTCACTCTGCACACTCCGCGGTGACTCCAGCCTGTCCCTGGCCAGCAGGGAGTATCCTGGGTAACAAGAAGAAAAACCTGAGGTCAGCACATGGCTGTCAGCAGGCAGGGGTGGGGAAGAGACTGAGTCCTGAAAGAGGAGGAACTCCCTGGGGGCGTGTGACACTTGCCAGGTGGAGTGTTGGTGACAGGGTGCAGAGCCAACTCCATGGAAGCCACAGGAATAACTTGGGTGGAAATTAGTGACCCCCAGAGTGGTCAGCAGTAGCTCTCTGGGAATCCCTTGTGGGGACTGCCTCTCCTGGGCAGGCAGCCAGGTCAAGGCCTGCTGAGGCAGGCATGAGGACACTAGGCTGTCCCCTCTCCCTGGAGCTCTAGGGTCCTGCCTCATGCACTCTGCTCTCTCCCTCCGCCCAGCACTACCTGACGTGCTTCAGTGGCACCATCGCCGTGCCCTTCCTGCTGGCTGAGGCGCTGTGTGTGGGCCACGACCAGCACATGGTTAGTCAGCTCATCGGCACCATCTTCACATGCGTGGGCATCACCACTCTCATCCAGACCACCCTGGGCATCCGGTGAGCGGCCCAGTTCCCCCTCCCCCCCCACTGTGATCCACACAGCAGGAGCAGGTGGGCTCCCAGAGGACACCGGTGAGACAAAAAAGCCACTATCTGCCTCCAACTGCTTCTCCTATCCCAGGCCAGCCTTAGAGCTGGGCAGCACAGCCCTGACCCTGGGAACCTTGATCTAGGCACACTCAAAAACCAAGCATCTGCAAGTTTAAGGGAAGGGAATTAAGGGAAGGGAATGTACCCTCGCTAGCTCTCCCCATTTTTTTTTTTTTTTTTTTTTTTTGGAGACAGAGTTTCACTCTTGTTGCCTAGGCTGGAGTGCAGTGGCATAATCTTGGCTCACCACAACCTCCACCTCCTAGGTTCAAGCGATTCTTCTACCTCAGCCTCCCGAGTAACTGGGATTACAGGCACGCACCACCACGCCTGGCTAATTTTGCATTTGTATCCACCCGCCTTGGCCTTCCAAAGTGCTGGGATTACAGGCGTGAACCACCAAGCCTGGCCAGCTCTCCGCTCTTAAGCCCCATTCTGAATACTGCCCAAATGGCAGCCCTGAGCTGGCTCCCAGGGCCGGTGCCAGCCTCTTCAACAGCCCACCCTCCCAGGGCCCCACGCTCCCGAGTGCACAGCCCTAGGCCTGGGTGGCATTTGAGCTGTTTGAGCGGTGGCGGGCAGGGGAAGATTGTGAGAGAAATCTGGATGTGGGAACTGAGCTGTCCACTTCCGGGCAGGTGGTCCCTCCTAACAGTGCAGGACCTGGTGATGGGAAGGAAAGGGGGCAGATTTTGAGTTGGGGGCTCCATTTGTTTTCTTCCTTGGGCAGCCAAAATGTTACAGTTGGTCTTCCCTGGGGCCTCAGCGACTTTCATCTGCCCTTATTCCTCGTGTCTCTGTCATTCTCTCTGTGCTCTCCTTTCCTGATCTCTCCCCATGTCTATATCCCTCCTCCCCCCCCATCTATATCCTTCCTCCCCACCCTGTTGCTCTGTGCCTCTCCTTCAGGCTGCCGCTGTTTCAGGCCAGTGCCTTTGCATTTCTGGTTCCAGCCAAAGCCATACTGGCTCTGGAGAGATGGAAATGCCCCTCGGAAGGTGGGTACACTTCTGGGGTCCACACTGGGGAAAAGGGAAGGCCCAGAGACCTGGAGGTCTGAGCAACTGTCCCGGGTCCAGACACCAGGGTGCAGTCATGGCAGCATCTTCTCTCCCTCTCTTGTCTCTGTACCTGGTCCATGTGTGTGTCCCTGACTCTACCCCCAGAGGAGATCTACGGTAACTGGAGTCTGCCCCTGAATACCTCTCACATCTGGCACCCACGGATACGGGAGGTGGGTTTGCACATAAGGGTAGAAGCTGGGTCCTGAGGAGGGGCTATATGGAAGTGAGGGTGGCCGCTGAGTTTGGGGATTTAAGGAGGTGGTCCAGGAGCTTTGTTCCTGCTAACAGTAGCCAGGTCACAACCTTTACATGGTGACTTACAGCTGATGTTTGCCCTTCCAGGTCCAGGGTGCAATCATGGTGTCCAGCGTGGTGGAGGTGGTGATTGGCCTGCTGGGGCTGCCTGGGGCCCTGCTAAACTACATTGGGCCTCTCACAGTCACCCCCACTGTCTCCCTCATTGGCCTCTCTGTCTTCCAAGCTGCTGGCGACCGAGCTGGCTCCCACTGGGGCATCTCAGCTTGGTGAGCAGGCACCAGGCCTGATCCCTGCCCAGCCCCAGCACCCCACCCTCTTCATGTCCTTCATCCTTCTTCCCGGATCCTGGCCCCAGCCTGGCCTCCCGTCCACTTCCTGATTGTGCCTCTGCCCCCAGCTCCATTCTCCTGATCATCCTCTTCTCCCAGTACCTGCGCAACCTCACCTTCCTGCTGCCTGTCTACCGCTGGGGCAAGGGCCTCACTCTTCTTCGCATCCAGATCTTCAAAATGTTTCCTGTGAGGACCTGGCAGGCGGCTGGGGCTGGGACTATGGCCAGGGCTTGGGCTGAGGTGGGAGCAGGTTAGCCTGGACAGAGACCTCCAGTGCCTTCAGTGCCCCCCACCCTCCTGCTTCAGATCGTGCTGGCCATCATGACCGTGTGGCTGCTCTGCTATGTCCTGACCTTGACAGACGTGCTGCCCACAGACCCGAAAGCCTATGGCTTCCAGGCACGAACCGATGCCCGTGGTGACATCATGGCTATTGCGCCCTGGATCCGCATCCCCTACCCCTGTGAGCAACATCCCTTGGGCCCCTCTGTCCCCAACTGAGACCACCTATGAGACAATCCTGGTGACCCCAGTCCAGCAGGTGACACGCCTAGCATTAGCCGCACATTTATAGTGTGCCCAGCAGAGCAGTGTTTTACTTAGACAAAGCTTCAGTCCCACTTCCTGGCTCTGAGTGACCCAAATAAGCTCCCACAACTGTATAGCTCCCATCCCAGCCTGAGGTCTCCTTACCTGCTCTTGCTCCTTCCAGCACTGCCCTGTCTATTCCTAACCATCACAGTCTCCTCACTGTAGCCAACCATCCTGTCTCCCTCCGGCACAGGTCAGTGGGGCCTGCCCACAGTGACTGCAGCTGCGGTCCTGGGAATGTTCAGCGCCACTCTGGCAGGCATCATTGAGTCCATTGGAGATTACTACGCCTGTGCGCGCCTGGCTGGTGCGCCACCCCCTCCAGTACATGCTATCAACAGGTAGCCTACCTGCCCTCCTCAGTATCTGATCTCCTCAGGGGTCCTCCAGGAAGCACACACACAGGAACGGGGTGGAGGCCCAGGGGCTAGGCTTAGGCAAGTCGGGAACACGCTCCAGACCTCATTCTCCTTGCTTGTGCGATGGGGGTGCCCTCTTATCACCCCTCTGTGGTTGCTGGGAGTAGCTGAGAAGACGGCGGAGTCCGAGGGGAACCACCATCATTGACAGCCCTCGATGTGCCCGGCTCTGGCTGTGCCTTCTTATGCAATCTGTGAAGCATTTTGTGAGACGGGCACTGGTATTTATCCCAGGAGGAAATTGAAGGCCAGAATTGCCCACAGAATTTAAGTGCCAGGGCACTGGGACTAGCTTTGGAGCCTGAGCACTCTGGCCTGGAGTAAGGAGTGCTACAGCTGTTAGCTGCAGCCCCCACAGCGCCAGAAGACGGCGGACCGCTAAGATGATGGGGAACACAGGCTGGTGCAGAGGCTGGACCGAGCCCCAACTCGCCCTTTCCTTACAGGGGCATCTTCACCGAAGGCATTTGCTGCATCATCGCGGGGCTGTTGGGCACGGGCAACGGGTCCACCTCTTCCAGTCCCAACATTGGCGTCCTGGGGATTACCAAGGTGTCGCGACGAGCCGGAGCCAAGTCCCGATCTAATTCTGTGGGCCGTAGGCCCCGCCCCAACCCCGTCCCCACTTTGGTTTAGCCCCACCCTGTCTTTGAGAGGCCTCGTCCCCGCATCAAGCCCCAGCAAGTTTATGCCTTGCTCTTATAACGGGCCCCGCCCCTGGAACTAACCCCGCCCCAGCCTCGTCCCCTGGTCTAGCTCCTCCGCTGGCTCCCCGGCAGGTGGGCAGCCGGCGCGTGGTGCAGTATGGTGCGGCTATCATGCTGGTCCTGGGCACCATCGGCAAGTTCACGGCCCTCTTCGCCTCGCTCCCTGACCCCATCCTGGGAGGCATGTTCTGCACTCTGTTTGGTGAGTGTCTGGCGCGGGCCACGGGTCGCGGTGCAGGTCACCGAGTGGTGGGACCCACCTGGATTGCGCGTGCGCGACGCCTCCAGTGGTTCTCTTGCGCCCTTAGGCATGATTACAGCTGTGGGGCTGTCCAACCTGCAATTTGTGGACATGAACTCCTCTCGCAACCTCTTCGTGCTCGGATTTTCCATGTTCTTCGGGCTCACGCTGCCCAATTACCTGGAGTCCAACCCTGGAGCCATCAATACAGGTGCCTCCAGCTGTTTACTGTCTCCAAAGGTGGGGTGGGCCCAAAACTTTGAGCACAGCCCCCTCCCTCAAAGGCTCCACACAGCTACAGCCACAAATCCTACCCAACTCTGGGTGTCAATCAGCAGCTGAGAGCCTGGGTCACAGCTGTCCTTTACTAAGACACTTCCTGTGGACAGATATTGACTTTACATGTGCTTATTTTTCAAAACAGCTCCATAGATCTATTTATCTATATTTATCATTTGTCCATTATCATTTCAACTTTCCAGATGAGCAACATGAGGCTCAGAGAGGCTCAGTGATTTGTCCCAGGTGAACAACTAGCAACTGGCAGAATTGGGATTTGAACCCAGAGATAGGAAAGACAGAGATAGGTTTGAGACAGGGCTTTGTACTGTTCCTTTGCCATGGCTGCACAAGAGGAAGTCCCTCAACTCTGCTCTCCGAATTGGGCCATGACACCCATTGGCCCTTGGCCTATTCCACAGGCATTCTTGAAGTGGATCAGATTCTGACTGTGCTGCTGACCACGGAGATGTTTGTGGGCGGGTGCCTTGCTTTCATACTTGACAACACAGTGCCAGGTATGGTTCAGTCCTGGGAGGGGAATGAAGAACTAAGCAGGACTCATGCATTCCAACAGATGGCCTCTAAGCTGGAGCTGTGGCTAGGTACCATGCGATGCAGTCCCTGCAGGGAGCATCAGGAACAGATGGGCTGGCGGAGTTCTCACTGGCTGGAGGGAGAGAATGAGGCACAGACATGCCTCAGAAGTCTTGAAGAGGATTGGGCCAGGAGAGTCACTGCTGGGTCCTGTGAATCCTTTCCTTTCCATTTGTTCCATTTCTTTCTTTTTTTCTTTTTCTTTTCTTTTTTTTTTTTTGAGATGGAGTCTCACCCTGTCACCCAGGCTGGAGTGCAGTGGTACAATCTCAGTTCACTGCAACCTCCACCTCTGGGGTTCAAGTAATTCTCCTGCCTCAGCCTCCCGAGTACC